CGTCTCTCCCCAGCTTTCTGCCAGGCCCCTGCCAGTCCTGGCAGCCCCCAGCAGGTCTCCCCAGCTGGAGCCTTCTCCTCTGTGGCTGCCCCAGCCCAACTCTCTCCTGCTGGGCTCCCAGCAGAGGGGTTCCAGCCCTCGGGGCATTGTTCTGCGAGCACTGACAAATCTGAGAAGGGGTTTTCTTCTCTGAACTTAAAACCTTGAACCTTGAAAGAGGTTCATGAGAACCTCTGTGAATCCAGGCTGCGGAGCAGCAGCAGCATTCTCCGTGTCACCTTCTCCTCATCGTGGATTAGTTAGTAGTCAACCTCTTGGCACCAGAGTGCTCCCACATGTATGTCACCCTCCCCACGCCCCCCCAGAGCTGCTCCCCTTCCTCTCAGGTGCTGTTTGCAGGAGCTGTGAAGTTGAGTGCAGCAGAAGCTGGGAGGTGTTCACCACCCGTGAGGGTTTCTCCTGGTGATCAACTTCCCTCAGTCGTTGCTGTAACTGCGGCGCTTGGTTTCCTGTGGATTTTTATACTTCATCTGAGATTCTTCTGAAGATGGCACCTTCCCATCTCTAGGAGTGGGGCCAGACTGAGACATGAGCTGCCTGAGCTGGCTGCTGAAATGGCAAGCCGTGGTTTTGTTCCATCCTGAGATGCTGGTGTGATTTTCCTAGGTGTCTAAGACAGTCTTCCAGGGCCTGCAATAATGTGTAATTCATGGCTGAAAACATTTTATCATCACCCCTCTTTCCATCATAGTTAATTCCCCCAGTAGCTCCTCATGAAGACCTATTTCAGTTATAACTTGGGTGATATTTTCATTTCTGGTAACCCATCACTCCACATGACGTGTTCTAGCAGGTAGGTGCATGAACAGACCCCTCTTGCAGATGCTGTGAGCCCTGCAGAGCCTGGCACCAGGTCCTGCTGCATCTCCAGGCACAGAGCTCAGTGACCAGGTCCCCAAAAGGATTTAACACTTGCAGGGATATTGGTTTTTTTTCCTAGATCATTTGTAGAGCTGTCCATTGGAGGGGTGCCTGTACACCAGGTCAGGCTTCCAACAATAAAGTGAAGGACACAGACAGGAGTGGATGGGGCATTTGTACAGGGGCAGGTCCTTTCAGGGGCCTTCAAGAGAGCTGGGGACAAACTTTGGAGCAGGGGCTGTTGGGACAGGACCAGGGGGGAGGGTTTGAAACTAAAAGAGGGAGATTTAGGCTGGAGAGAAGGAAGAAATGTTCAACCCTGAGGGTGGTGAGCCCCTGGCCCAGGCTGCCCAGAGAGGTGGTCGCTGCCCCATCCCTGGAACCATCCCAGGTGAGGTTGGCCGGGGCTCTGAGCACCCTGCTCTAGCTGCAGATGTCCCTGCTCCCTGCAGGGGGGTTGGACTGGGTGACCTTGAAAGGTCCCTTCCCACCCAAACCATTCTATGATTAAAGAGGGCAACTTTAAAATGAAGAGCTCACAGACCTTTACAAGCCAACTAGTCGATTAGGATATCTTTACCAAAACATTGTTTTGAAGTTGGAGAGCCTGGCAGGCAGTCCTAGAAAGAAGCTGATTCAAAACACAGAGTTAATTGAACATTAAAAAAATAAATAAATCCATAATTTTGAGGAGTGCTGGGCTAGGACCTCAGTGAGGAGCCTGGGTTCCCCCAGCCCTCCCTGCTCTGTACGAACAGACCCCATGGATCACACAGAACCAAGAGGAAGTTCACTGGTTTGAACCCCTGCTTCATTGCCTCTTTGTGACCATAACCACAGCGTGTTGCAACGTCCTTTATAAAACCAAAATCAAACCCCCAAACCTTTCTGTGTTCCCCTTGGCTGACTCTGCCTCTCCCTCTTTCCAGGGCCACCCCTTCATCGTGCAGTACAACGACGGGAACGCGGAGGTGGTGTCCATGTGGGTGTGCAGGATGCTGGAGGAACGGCGCTCCACCCAGGGGCCACAGTGAGCTGGGCTGCCTCCCAGCCCCCTGCCAGCCAGCAGCTTGCCCTGCCAGCCCCACGCTTCAGACTCTTGGGCTCTCTGGATCCTATTTTACTAAACAAAAAAAAAACTCTTCCAGGGGTTTTGTTGCTGCTTTTTCCCTCACCGCCACGTTAAGGAGTTTTCTACCACGTTTCTTTTGTTGCTGAGCAATATAACACCCCTCAGATTATCTCCAGTTAAACTGTTCACAGCCTTAAAGCGAGTATTTTATATCTATATTTTTTTTGTTGTTGAATGTATTGTATATTTCCTGGCTCCAGAGTATTTTTTAAACTGTTGGACTTTTGCTATTGTACGACTGCCAGGCTGAGTGGTCAGAGGTTCCCTGAGCTGTTGGCTGTCTTCTAATGCAGGCACCCACATGGTGCTGGGTTTAGCTGTAGAACAAAAGCAGACAAACCAGCAAAAGAAGGATGTGGAGTGGCCCGTCCTGCGAGGAGCTGAGGGGCTGCCCTTCTGCAGCAGAGGCACAGCAGCACCCTGCTGTCGGGGGGCCAGTGGTGCCTCTGCTGCCGTGGCTCAGGTTTGCTGAGAGGCCCCAGCCAAAAGTCAGCACAGCGTGGTGGAGGGTGCCAAGAGCAGCCATGCTCTGGCCCTGCAGGTTGATCTGTAAATCCAGAAAGGGTCTGCAGGACTAGGGCAGGGATTGTCCCCTGGACGCGGTGCTGGGGAGGCTGCACCTTGAATCCTGGGTTCAGTTTTGGGCCCTCACTCCAAGAAGGACCTTGAGGGGACAGAGAAGGGCAATGAAGCTGCTGGGGAAGGGTCTAGAGGCCAAGTGTTGGGGGGAGCAGCTGAGGGAGCTGGGGGTGCTGAGCCTGGAGCAAAGGAGGCTCAGGGGGGAGGCTTTCTGGCTCTGCCCAGCTCCTGACAGGAGCCTGGAGCCAGGGGGGGGTCGGGCTCTGCTCCCAAGGAACAAGGGACAGGACAAGAGGTAAATGGCCTCAAGTTGCCCCAGGGGAGGTTGAGGTTGTCCCTGAGGAACAATTTGTTCCCCTGGAGGGTTGCCCAGGGCTGTGCCAGGCTGCCCAGGGCAGTGGTGGAGTCCCCACCCCTGGAGGGGTTTCCAAGCTGTGGAGATGTGGTGTGAGGGACACGGGGCAGTGGGGACCTGGCAGTGCTGGGGGATGGTTGGACTCCAGGATCTTAAGGGTCTCTTCCAAGTCAGATGGTTCTGTGATTCTGAGGTTTTGCTGCAGTGGCAGGAGGTGAGGAGGAGGAGGACAGTGCTCCCCTGGGGGGATGGAGCTGGGTGGGCACCAGCCAGACCTGGCAGCCCCAGAGCTGAGATGTCCCCTGGCCTCTGGCTGTACAGGGAGAGCAGCCCTGGCCAGCAGGGCCAGAGGACAGGCTGCAGAGTTGCCCTGTGCTACCACAGCAGCCTGTGGCTTGTGTGGAGGTCCCTCAGCTCTGCTGGGGCAGTTCCTGTGCCCCCCTCCACCTGCAGACACAGATTTGTTTAGTCCCTGCGTGAAGACACTTGTTAAGAAGCCCCAGAGGAGAGGAGGAGGGTGAAAGGCAGGGTTGGGGGGTTTGGTTTGGCTGGGGGAGGAGGTTGGGGGTTTTGTTCGCTTGTCTTTGTGTTAGAAATAAACTTTTGCTAAAAAAAAAAATATAAAAATAAACAGCTGAAGTAGTTTATTATATACCAGCAGCTTAAAAAAAAGGAAAGAACAGTGAGAAATTCCTCCTGAACTGCTGCAAATCCTGAATGTTACTCTGGAAGCAGCCTGGAAAAGACTTTGTTTCCTTCCTTGGAGGGGTCGTTTGTCTTCTTTTGAAGTCTAGAGGTTGCAGGCATGAACTTATAGACTAAAGTTTGTCTTAATTGCTCTGATGTCACAACCTCCCTGGCAGATAACAGTGCAATGAATGAGTCAACGGCCCTCGTACCTCCAGGTCCTTTTTCTAAAGTGAGACAAATTTCTTCCCTGTGAGCCAACCAGACTGTGGGCAGCTCTTCCATTTATTCATCTCTAACAGTTTGCATTAGCTTCCTCTGGATAAAAAGTCTCTCCCTTGGATTTAGGGAAGAAGTCAGTCAACCCAAGGCTTTTCCTCTCACTTCCCCTGGCAGGGAGGCTGCGTGGGGAAGACATTGCCCTGAGAACCCACGTGGGGTGCCAGCTGCTGGGCAGGTGAAAAGTCTCCCAGCTCAGGGGCTGGCAGGGTTGTCACTCACTGCCACTGCAGGAACCTTGCTGCCTTCATCAGTCCATTTAATCAACCCAGCAATCAGCACCCCTGGCCTGTCTGTCACCCCCAGGGCCAAGCAGCAGCCAGGTGGGGTCTCCTGCCTTGGAGGGGGTGGGTCCCCACGGAGGTGTGGGCCCCACTGCCTGGTCTGCAGTGCTGGGGGGACTGCTGGGCACCCCCAGACACAGCACCTCACTCTCCTCTTCTACCCCTGTCCTGGCCCTGCTTTGGTGCCCCCAGAGCTCAGTTGGTGCCCCCAGAGCTCAGCCCTATTCCCACCACCCCCCATCAGCACCAAGGGGTAAAAGGGGGGAGGGGGGCACTAAAATTGGGCTCGGATCCAGGAAGATTTAGCTCAGCTGGGTGCCCCCACCCACATCCAGCAGCTGCCCAGCAGGTCTGAACCCAGCCTGGGCTCCTCTCCTTGCAGCAGCCGTGACCCCACATGTGTGCTGTGTGGGGAGCCTGGTGTGGGGCACCCCCCAGACCTGGGTGAGGGCACCTGCTGGGCAGTCTGAATCAGGGCACTGGGCTGAAAGGCTTGCAGGAAATGCAGCAATATTATAACCTGTATTTGAGTGCTGTGCAGAAGATGGCACGGGAGGGGGGGCATAATGAACACAAATTCAGCCCTGAGTGACCCCTCGTCTCCCCCAGTCCCACTCCTCATCCCACCAGCTCGTTTAGGGAACCCACCAGCAGCCCCACACTGGTCTCCCTGTAACCACAGTCAGGGTGGGTGATAGACCCAATCTCCCCTGGCAGTGTCTGCAGGAGCTCCCAGGCTCTCTGGGAAAAAATGGCTATGTGCCATCCGTGCCCAAACTTCCAATATTTTCCACTTCTCCTTTCTGTGATCCTTGCCTGGTGAAGCTCCTCCTGTGAGACAAGCCTGGGGGCAGGCAGAACTAGAAAATATTTTGTTTCCTGCACCCCATGGGCAAACACCCCCTGCTGCCAGCTCCCCAGCCATCATCTTCCAAATAACAGCCTGGGAAAGGAATCAGGAATGAGGATTGTGGCAGGCTGTGGCTTCCAGGGCTGTGAGGGGTCCCCGACAGGTCCCTCTCCCCGGGCATGGTGTCCTGTTGGGCAGGGGCAGCGAAGGGGTTGATGTTAATAACTGAGCCATGGCCAGAAACGGCTTCTTCTGACCCCTGTGACATCCAGGAGCATCAGCAGAGCAGAGGCTGAACCTGGGAGGGGTGTCTGTGCCTTCCTGCCTCGCAGAGCTCTCTCCTCCTGCAGCGAAAGTTGGCCTGGAGGCACCAACAGAAAAGGGATGGACCACAGGGACACCCCCACCTCTGTGCTGCAAACAGCACGTGAAGCAAAACCTGGGAATTCAGGTCTTAGATGGAAAATAAAATAAAATAAATAAAATTTAACCCTGCAGGGAGCGAAAGCCACTGATGAAGAGCAGAGGCTCTGGAGCCGGCAGCAGTAGAGCCCAGTTTGGTGACAGAGGGGGATGCTGCTGGGGCTTGCTTGGTTTTCTGGCTCTGACTGTGCTCCCTCTGCCCAGCGCTGCCCCCAGGCAGGACAGCCCAGGGGCACCATCAGTGTCCACGGGGGTAAACACTGAGAGACCTGACGGGACCCACAGGAGGCCGGGGAGCCAGCTCACGCAAGCCTCAGCTGAGCTAAACTCATCCCAGGTAACCCCAGCTCGTTGAGAGCTGCGGAAGAACCGTCTCCAGCACCTCAGCTTCTGCAGAGGGTGCTCAGCAGACCTTCTTCAAGCTGTGTGAGGTTGTCTGTGGGTGACTCCTGCCCTCGTATCTGCCCCACTGCTGCCATGGTTGCCCTGTGGGGAGCTGGGCAGGAACCAGCCTGGCTTGGTGGTTGGGTGCTGGGTGCTGGGCCCTGGGGAGCAGAGGGGCTGTCCAGTGGGGATGGGGACCCCATTGCCTGATGGTGAGTTCCTGAGCTGTAGCAGTTATTTTTGGATAGCCCATCTTCAGCCTTCCTTGAGGGACCTCTCAAGCTGGGGGCGGGCTGGGGCTCATGGGCACCATGGGGCACAAATCTGGAGGGATGGGTGGGGCTGTCTCCTGGACTTTCTGGCCTCATCCTGCTCCCCTGGCCCACAAGGGCTGCCCAGCCTGGTCTGGGAGAGCCTCGTGGGAAAAGAAAAAAAACACCCCGAGAGATGTCTAACCGTGTTCTTTCAGTCACATGGAGTAGAAGGAAGGAGAGCAGA